AAGAGATGTAGGCATGGCAATGGGAAAGCTAGCAGTAAGGTGATTTCTGTAGGAGTTAAGAGTAGTGATGAAAATGGGCAAGAGTCCTGAAGAAGGACTGTGGTTCTCCTGCAGGAGAAAGGACTAGAGATAAGTATTGGAGAATGTATAAACCTATTCCATCCTGGAATAAATGATTAGAAAAAGAAGACAATAACTTTTTCCAGCCTTTGGGGATAAAGCTATAAAAGCAAGAATCCACATAATGAGAACATGAGAAGGTGAAACTTCTCATGATTCCTGCCAAGAAGTAAGGTAAACCAAGTTGGAGAGGTTATAGATTTATGTTGTGGAGAAATTACAACTAAGATTAGCAATGCAGCTGTAAGGAGAATGATGCTGAAAAGCCACTGAGTATTAAGTGAGGTATATAAAAGCTTGGCATATTTAGATGCTTTATTTTGCAATTGCAGAAGAATTTCTTTGAGAGACTATAGATACAAGAAAGCCAAATGGACAAGTATTGCAAGAACATGCAAGAGTGAGAGACTAAGAATCTGAGTAACATCCTCATCATGAAAATGGAGATGACGGGATGGTTAAATCTGGGGAGAAAAAAAGTCAAGAGATCTTTGATGGTAGTGTTAGAATAATTGGTTGGCCCAATGACTCAAGCCTGTAATACCGGCACTTTGGAAGGCCAAGGAAAGAAGAATGCCTGAGCCCTCAAGTTTGAGACCAACCTGGGCAACACAGTGTGATCTCATCTCTACAATAAATCAAAAAAATTAGCTGGGTGTGGTAGCAACTACTTGTAAGGCTGAGGCGGAAGATCACCGGAGCCCAGCAGATCGACATCGGGATGGCTGTGAGCATACACTCCAGCCTGGGGGACAAAGTGAGGCTCCAACTCAAAACAATAAAAAAGAATTATTGGGGAGCCTCAACATTTAATGTACACTGTCCTGATTTTAGAGAATTCATATCTTAGAAAACCAAGAGGGAGGAGAAATGATGAATTTAGAACTCAAAATCTGAAAACACATGCTCTGTGATGATCAATTTCCTGCGATTCTATTAATTTGCAGGGATTTCTTTGAACATCAACTCCTCCTTCTCCTCTCTGAATTGTCCTCTGGTGATGGAGTGGGTCAATGAGACTGCGTTGAGAGAATTTGTCTTCCTTGGCTTCTCCTCCCTGGCCAGGCTCCAGCAGTTGCTCTTCATCGTTTTCCTGCTCTTCTACCTGTTCACTCTGGGTACCAATGCCATCATCATCATTTCCACCATTGTGCTGGACAGAGCCCTTCATACTCCCAGGTACTTCTTCCTCGCCATCCTCTCCTGCTCTGAGACTTGCTACACCTTCGTCATTGTACCCAAGATGCTGGTTGACCTGCTGGCTCAGAAAAAGACTATTTCCTTTCTGGGCTGTGCCATCCAGATGTTTACTTTCCTCTTCCTCGGCTGCTCTCACTCCTTCCTGCTGGCAGCCATAGGTTATGATCGCTATGCAGCCATCTGTAACCCACTGCGCTACACAGAGCTCATGAGATACAGGGTGTGTGTGGGACTAGTTGTTGCCGCCTGTGCCTGTGGCTTTACTGTTGCACAGATCATCACATTCTTGGTATTTCACCTGCCCTTCCACTCTTCCAATGAACTACATCACTTCTTCTGTGATATCTCTCCTGTCCTCATGCTGGCATCACACCATACTCACTTTGTCAAATTGTCATCTTCATACTCTGCATGTTGGTTCTGGTTACTCCCCTCTTGTTGATCTTGGTATCCTACGTTCATATCATTTCTGCCATACTCCAATTTCCTTCTACATTGGGCAGGTACAAAGCTTTCTCCACCTGTGCCTCTCACCTCATTGTTGCCACTGTCCACTATGGCTGTGCCTCCTTTATCTACTTAAGGCCAAAATCCAACTACTCGTCAAGCCAGGATGCTCTGATATCAGTGTCTTACACCATCTTAACTCCGTTGTTCAATCCCGTGATTTACAGCTTGAGAAATAAAGAGTTCAAGTCAGGTCTTTGCAGAGTTGTGGGAAGAACAATTTCCCTGCCACAACATTAATCTGGATCCTGCACTTTCCAAATAGTGAAGCACAAAGTATTCAGGGAGAGATTCCCATAACAGAAAGAGTCAAGCAATGGGGCATTACATTCAGGAACGTAGATCAGTTTTTCTTTATCTCCAAATATAACATCTGTGAAGACTTTTTGTCATGATCACGTGAATTATTGTTTATTGAAGTTTTTACAATGGAGTGAAATGCAATAGATAACTATTACAGGACAGTATATGTGAAGGGGGAGCAAAAAAAACCTGGAATTCTCTTTTTTGGGGGACAGGCTCCTTATAGTATACTCGGAATTTGTTTCTCCATATCAAATGGTCAACCAAGGTTTTTTCCTGAAAGTTTTGAGAAGGTTGCATCACAATTTGTGGAATCCACAGCCCAAGTTTGGCAAGCAGGTGACTGGTTCTTCCATCATGACAATACACTTGCCCACACTGCGCTGAGTGTTCAGCCGTTTTTCACCAAAAATGGCATGACCCTATGCCCCACCCTCCTTATTCACCCAATCTTGTCATGAGCGACTTCTTTGTTTGTTTGTTTCCCTGGATGAAATAAGCCCTCAGTGGAAAAGGTTTTGCCAGTATGGAAGAGGTGAAACAAAAAATGGTAGAAGCACTAAAAAATATCAAATTGATGAGTTCAAAACCTGTTTTGAGCATTGGAGAGTATTGCATCAAATGGAAAACACTTTGAAGGTGACTGACGTTTAAACATGTAAAAATAAAGACACAATTTTTTATAAATAAATTCCAGTTTTTAGGGGGTCCTCCCCCTAAAATTCAGAATTCTAGGCTCTGGTGAATACTATCAACCAATGTCACCCAGACAAGAAACTAATCCTGAGTAATATACTACAACCCCAATCCTCTGTTCTAGGGACTCACAGGAAACTCCTGTCTCTAGATTGCTTTCTTTCTGGGTGTTTTTAGAATCTCAGTGTTTCAATATAGTCAGATCACAATTTTTAAATGAGCTATTTGTAAACCACCATATTGCAATGCTTGGTGCAAAATATATATACAAACAATGTTCAAGTAAGGCAATTAAGTAAATTTATCCATTTCTGTGTTTCTAATGTATTAAGTGGGAAATGATCTTTTTTCCTAATTTTGTATGTACTGGCATAAATCTAAATTTAGTCAACATACCATGAAGATATTCACAGGGTCGTGGGCTAAAGGGAAGACCTAAAATCACACACAGTGGACAGAAAAGGCAAACTAAACATAAGCCCATTTCATTAAATATTTATCAAATGGAAAACTCTGTGTAAAGGGCAACTAACCCCTGTTCTCTATGCAACTCAGGAGCCTGCATATGTGCTGAGGCCAGATGTTTTAATTATCTCTTCTTTCTGCAGGAGTAAGTTCAAACAGGAATCTCCATAATAGAACTGCTGTTTCATACTATATTTCTTTTCAAAATCCACTCAACAAAGGTCTCCTGATTGATTTATTTTGTTCTAAGTTTTTTCCACCAATTTCTTTATTGATGGCATATACCTTCCAGGAGTTGAGGAAAGGATGTGGGGTATTTCATTTACAGGCCTTGTTTATTGTAGAATGTTGACCTTGTATGCCAAGAATGTAAGTCAACTTCATTTCTTCCATTTCTTTGAAGCTTGAGATTTGCTGAGAATGGGGACTGAAGATCACAAAGAGTGATTAATAAGAGAAAAATTGATTTCTATAGCCACAAGTTGTCTTCCTGGGCCCCATTGTTCACCCCAGGACTCCAGCCTATCAAGTTAATTCTTGAAAAGCAAATGAATTGATAGCCCCTACTACACCTCAGATTAATGTGTTAAGTGTTTATATCTGCAATGTTCTACTGTTTAAAAATAATATTTAAGGATTGGCAGGAGCGGGAAACTGCCAGAAGGAGGGCGGGGAAGCGAGATTGGCAGTAGTGGGAGTCTGTCTGGTGTAGAAGGGGCACACCTCATCAACAAGGGTACCTGCATAAAGAACATTTGTATACCTAATTCTGAATTGTACCCCACATCTTTAAAATAAAAAATTAAAAGTTAAAATAGTAATAATAATCTTTAGGCTAGACATTAGAGAACGCTTGGGAAGGTTATATTATAAGCCACATTTTATAGATGAGCAAACTAACACTTAAAGAATTAAAGTGACATGCCAAAAATGAGCTAAAGAATTAATACTGAACCCACATGATCTGCTTCCTTTATTTTTTTATTTTTTTATTTTTTTTATTGTGATGTTGTGGAGTACAGTTAAGGGTTAGGTATACAATTGCGTTTCATTCAGGCACCCTGTAGATATGGGGTGTTTCCCCATTCCCTGACAGATATTTGCTACTGTTAATCCCATCTCCCTCCCCCCACCATAGTTTCCCAGTACGGTCAGTCATTTTCGTATAGTATTGCATTGGATGTTTAAGGTCCATAATATGAGTGAGAGCATGTGATACTCGGATCTTTGTTTCTGTGAGAGGTCACTCAGTATTATAGACTCTACTTCCATCCAGGTTGCTGCGAAATTCATGATTTTGTTCTTTTTTATGGCTGCATAGTATTCCATCGTGTATATGTACCACATTTTTTTAATCCAGTCCTCTTTTGACGGGCAGCATGGCTGATTCCACGTTCTTGCTATTGTGAACAACGCTGCGATAAACATGCGTGTGCAGGTATCTTTTTTATAGAGTGATGTGTGTTCTTCAGGATATATTCCCAGTAGGGGGATTGCGGGGTCATATGGGAGGTTGGTATTTAGAGCTTTTAGGAATCGCCACACTGCTTTCCACAGAGGTTGCACTAGTTTACACTCCAACCAACAGTGTAGAAGTGTTCCCTTTTCACCACACCCTCTCCAGCAGCTGTTACTTTTTGAGTTGTTGATGATTGCCATTGTGACTGGGGTTAGGTGGTATCTCAGTGTGGTTTTGATTTGCATCTCCCTGATGATTAGTGAGGTTGAACATTTCTTCATGTGTTTGTTGGCTGCTCGGATGTCTTCCTTTGTGAAGTGTCTGTTCATATCTTTTGCCCATTTTATAATGGGGTTGTTTGTTTTTTTCTTTTCAGCACGTTTGAGTTCCTTGTAGATCCAGGATGTTAAGCCTTTGTCGGACCTGGAGTTGGCAAATACTTTTTCCCAGTCTGTAGGCTGTCTCCCTGCTCTCTTTGACTTCGCAGATGCTTGTCAGTTTAATAAGTTTCTTTGACTTCGCAGATGCTTGTCAGTTTAATAAGGTCCCACTTATCTATTTTCTCTCTTATGAGCTGTGGGTTTTGGGTTTTCTTCAGGAATTGGATGCCAGTTCCAATTTCCATGAGGGTTTTTCCTTCATTTTCTAAGGTTCTTATGGTTTGAGGTTTTACATTTAGGTCTCTGATCCATTTGGAATTAACCTTTGTGCATGGGGATAGATAGGGGTCCTGTTTCAATCTTCTGCATGTGGTCAGCCAGTTTTTCCAGCATCCTTTACTGAATAGGTTCTCCTCTCCCCAGTGGTAGGTGGTGGAGGCTTTGTCAAAGATGAGTTGGTTGAGAAATTGAGGTTTTGCTTCTGGAATCTCAATTCTATTCCATTGATCTATATGCCTGTTCCTATACCAATACCAAGCTATTTTGATGATTGTAGCCTTATAGTAAAGTTTGAAGTCTGGTAATGTGATACCACCTGCTTTGTTTTTTTTGCTGAGGATTGTTCTGGTTATTCTTGGATGTTTGTGTTTCCATATGAATTCCTGGATTGTTTTTTCTAGGTCTGAGAAGAATGTTGCTGGTAATTTGATGGGTATTGCATTGAATTTGTAGATTGCCTTAGGTAAGATGGACATCTTAACAATGTTGATTCTTTCAATTCATAAGCATGGAATATTTTTCCATTTGTTTGTGTCAACTTTGATTTCTTTGAGCAGTGTTTTGTAGTTTTCCTTGTAAAGGTCTTTCATGTCTCTGGTTAGGAAGATGCCAAGGTATTTCAATTTTTTTGTGGCTACTGTGAATGGAATTGTGTTTTTTATTTGGGTTTCTGTTTGTTTATTATTGGTGTAGAGAAATGCGATTGTCTTTTGTACATTTATTTTGTATCCTGAGACTTTGCCAAAGGTCTTTATCAGTGTAATGAGGTTTTTGACAGATTCTCATGGGTTTTCACGGTATACAATCATGTCGTCTGCAAAGAGAGATAACTTGACTTCCTCTTTTCTTTTTGGATACCCCTGATTGTCTTCTCTTCTCTGATTGCTCTAGCCAGGACTTCCAATACTATGTTGAACAGGAAGGGTGAGAATGGGCATTCCTTGTCTTGTTCCAGTT